CACAGAAAACATTCCCTCATTTCCCTCCACTTTTATCCAGTTTTTTTTTTTTTTATCTCATCATCTTCATTTTTTGTGCTTAGTGGCTGAAAAAATACACAGAAAAAACTGAAATTAAACAAAGATTCTTCAAATGAAGCCTATAAAAATGGAATTCAAGCTCTGAACAGAGAGAACTATGTGAAATGGGCTGATGGCCACTTGTTATCTGAAGCACATTTATGTGGTGATAGCTGCATACTGGATTATTAACCCAGGGTGTCATGCACATTTCCAGACACCACATCTCTCTTCACTCTTTGAAATTTAAGTGGTTGTTAGAAGATGAATGAATGAAACTGATTCTGCTGTGACTGAGAACAGTCTTTCTGTATATATTTTCCAGATACTTTGTGTGAAACTGTCAAAAAGCACTTTTTTTTGGCAGACCTGTGGGTGATACTTATGAGCTGCATGCAGCAGAGTCTGGACCGAGCACTGTTCAGGAGGACGTGAAACATCCACACAGGATAAGTGATGATCAGAGTAAATAAAGCCCTTAAATCAGCTTAAACAGTTTTATACTTGTAGAGCGCGTTTCTACGCATTGCAGCACACTCAAAGTGCTTTCACACTATTTGCCCATTCACACAAATTCACACACCAGTGACATCACTGGGACTAACTGGGGGATCAAAATCTTGCTCAAGGACACTTGGACATGTGGGCTGGAGAAGTCGGGAATCGAACTGCCAACCTTCCAGTTAGGAGACGACCCAATCTACCTCCTGAACCACAGTCACCCCCACTGGACACATGACAAACACTGAGCTTTAGAATAACTCAACTTTTACTGTGAAATGAAAAGGCATCAGTGACATAGGAAAAGTGTTTCATTAAACTCAGACTATTTCAGAATGGACATAAACAAATATACACAAGAAGAACTGTCCGATTACTAAAAATGAAAAATAGAAAACCTGTACACTATACTGAAGTCTTTATACTGCCTTAGATAAAGGGGGTTAACACCAACAGTCACACATGCATGGCCATTCATTCTTACCCTGTCTGGACAACAATGCTTGGAAAGTTCAACTGGAATCCAAAAAAATCCCCCCTGGTAACACCCACAGTGACAGCCCAGCCTCGCTCCTGTTGGCCAGCCTCTCCTTCAGTTTTCTCAACCGATGACTCAGCTAAAGGAGCTTCCTCCTCCGAGTCACAGACTCAAACATAATGTGCATACAGGAATGTGAAACAAAGTAAAAGATGAGCGCATGTCCACGCAACATATAACCTACACGCAAGCTGATAAGTAAAACACACACACACACACACCCATAGGTGCGGCCACATGCAGTCATCCTGCTGTTGTACAAAGACTGGGGGTCAGAAGGTGAAAGGAAAAGAGGCCAGGGTTCATTCTTTCATTGCAAACTCTGCCTTCTTTCCCTCTATCCTTCTTAGCATTGCCCAATTTCCTGACTGGGGTTTCTGTTTCTTTGCAGCTCTGGCTCTCTCATTCCATCTGTGTTTCAATCCATTTCAACTGTGCTTTCATGACGAGCGTCCAATAGCTCATCCTCTGTTGGAGCAAGAAGAACTGGGTGGCAGTGAAAACTCCAATAAGGAAACATCAGGCCATTAAGCACTAACAAGTATGTAGAAGTGCACATACTTCATTAACAGGAAACATCTTTATGTTTCCAATCATGTGTCTCTTGGTGCTCTCCATCTACCCTGCAACACTGTCACTGGCCGTCCCTGTTTCTGAAGGCCTGAGTGTACCACTGAAAAGAGGAGCAGATTCCTCTGGCATGTGGACAATGGTGGCTGGGGAGAAGTCTGCTTCCTCTTCCGTGTGTGTGTGTGTGTGTGTGTGTGTGTGTGTGTGTGCGTGTGAGATCGAGCTGAGCAACACAGGCCTACTGCGAGGCTGCAAGAGCAGGGGGAGGGGATTTGATTTGATTTGATTTATTTATTTATTCTTTCAAGCATGTAAAGACAGTTGATATGTCAACACACATAATTTTACACATATCCAACAAATGCTAATCCAATATCAATTTGCTTATACCTAGTACATGCTTGAATGGAGTAGGAAGAAGTCAGACTTATCCAGTCCTACCCCATGACATCATCTTATCATCATTGATTTGCAAGCAGTAAATGATTCACTTCTACCCACACAAGTAATATACTAAAGAATTATTACAGAGTGTTAACATTCTTACCCCACACCCACAATGTTCCATCTAATTAATCATTAAACCTGTTCTTGCATATATCTTGATTGACACATACCTTTATATTTATATTTAAACTCGTCAATTCTATTACTATTTTTTATGTCCACACTTAAATTATTCCAGTTTTACCCCACTTATAGAAATACAGAATCTTTTTTTGAAGGCCAAAGATTCACCATGATATGATGACATGATAATAATGGAGTGTACTGTACTAAGTGCACTGTATTTGTGTTGCCGGAACATATGAAATGGACCATGGCTGTCCACAGTCAACTCAAGTTGTATAAGCTAATACTCACAGCCATGGTAAGAGGCAGGTGAGCCCTCTGACCTGCCGTACTCTTCACTGTAGGAAGTGGAGAGGTTGGGCTGAGACGAGCCTCGGCCAAAACCCATCTGACTGCTCCCTGTGGACACCTGGGCCATGCGCTCTTTGGTCTTCAAAGCCTGAGACCTATCAAAACATAAAAAAAAAAACAATGTGATGTCCAACAGGACAAAATAAGCATGGGTTACAAAAAGTCAGTTGGTCTATGAAGCCCTAAAACAAAAAATAGGCAGATTAAGTTTATTATCAAATCAAATCAAATCAAATTTTATTTGTATAGCGCCAAATCACAACAAAAGTCATCTCAGGACACTTTACAAAGTAAGGTCTAGACCTTACTGTTATCAATATTATTACATAGGGAAAACCCAACAAATCCCCCTTGAGCAAGCACTTGGCGACAGTGGGGAGGAAAAACTCCCTTTAACGGAAGAAACCTCCGACAGACCCCGGCTCTTGGTGGGCGGCCTTCTGCCTCGACCGGTTGGGGTGAGTGGATAGAGGAGAGACAAAAGAAGAAAAGCAACAAGACACAACAATCAAACACTGATCAGGTCGATGTGGCCGGTGACTGCTCGTCAGAGATATAGAGCTCCAGGGCAACCTGCAGAAAGTTACAGGGAGAGAGAGAGAGGACACACTACGGGAGAAAGGAGACACAAAGTTAGTAATGTGTAATAGTGGCAAGCTAGTGTTTATCAAAAAGGAACGTCTTAAGTCTAATCTTAAAGGTAGAGAGGGTGTCCGCCTCCTGAACTGAGACTGGGAGTTGGTTCCATAGGAGAGGAGCTTGATAGCTAAAGGCTCTGCCTCCCATTCTACTTCTGTGGACTCTAGGAACCACAAGCAATTATCATTACTACTACACAGAGAACCTGGGTTTTAAATACTTTTAATTCTAAAATGCCAAAATAAAATCATTTGCTTAGACTGTTACGCTGTAAAAGACCTCAACTCTAGCCATTCTGAAGGATCTAGCTTTGTTTAGAACCAACAGGTATAGAAACATAATAAGTAATCACAGCCCCCAGCTCCCAGGGGGATAACCACAGTGTGACTGATACTCAAAGGTAAAACCCACGTTAAAGCCTCATCTCTGATGCTGTACTCATCTTGTGAATTTGTTCACAGCCAATTTTGATAACCATCAGCCAGATAATTACTGAAATTCTGGCACGGTCACAGCCAAATAATTTGCTAAACAGCAGTCTCTTGCAACTGCGCTACCAAGAGCAGGAACTACCGTTAAAGACTAAAAAAAAAGGGTTGAGCTGGATTTGCCACTGGGCCCGGAGCAGAGTCTGCACTGACAGCTCAGCTCAATGCTCAACATCAACTGTAAATTAGTCTGAGTAATAAACAAAACACTGGCTTTGTGTAATTTTTAATAATGCAGAAATTCCTTTGTACTAAAGCTTCTGTCAGATGTAATTCAAATTAATGAAATTAGACACAGTGGACGCACAAGTCATTGTTCAACTGTTTAAATACAAATGCACTGCAGAGCCCCTCTCCTACATGGCTCACGATGGCTCAGCATGTCAAATCAACTATCGCAGTGGTTAGCTGCAGAGGGTGCGGTACCAAGGTCTGGCATGGTCCAGGGTTTGGTCGCTAGCTTTCTCCTAAGGGGAACAACATCTGCTGCCCCGACAAACAACTGGCTCCTCAACTAATAATTTAAATAATCAACATTAGCAGGCCATAGCATAGAGCACAGCATAATGGACTCAGGCATTAATGGTTAATTACGTATAAGTCCACCTATGCAGACGCACAAGATGAATCCTAAAATCTTTAACTACTGTATGTTTGGACAAATTACATTTATAAACTCTTACCTCTCTCCTTTGAGCCGGTCCTCGTCTTTGAGCAGGACCACCAGCTGCTTGCTCTTCTCCCTGACATTGATGCCCTGGTCTTTACCGTCTCTGTCAATATACTGGAAGTCCTTCAGAGTCTGGATGGCGAAGATGTTCTCTTTGCATTGCAGTGCCACTCGTTCAGAGCCGGTCTTGATCAGGTAGTCGAGCAGGGTGAGTGCCTTGTAAACATGACGCCAGTTCTTGCCGTGGTCATTAAGCCGTTTCCAGATCATGCTCATGATCTCACTGAAGGCCACCACATTGTAAGTGAGGTCAGCAATCTCGGACATGAGCGAAGACGACGGGCCCCAGGGGTCGTTAGAAGTGGCCTCTCTGACTTTCTTCTCTGCGTCAGAGTAGTTGTTCACCATGTTCTTCATCTGCCGACGGATGGTGGAGCTTGGCATGGTGGCGGTGGGGACAGGGCAGACAGGAAGAAATACAATATACACCCTCTCACTCAGAAGAGAAGCCGACAGCAAAACGGCTCACACGCAGACAGAGGATGTGAATGTGCGAGCGCTTCGGGTGAAGTCTGTTACGTATCTGTGTCCTTTCTAATGGCACAGCAGCGGAGAGTGTGGAAATCCTGTGCACAGGTGTGTGTTGTGTACGTGCGTTTGTTTATGAGGCTTCTCCAGGCCAGTGCAGTATTCCTGTGTCCTCCAGAACAGCATCTGTTAAAACCATCTCCACACACACAGTGCTAGCTGCACACATGACCGTGCCATCACCTAGGACAAACACACAAATAAAAGATTAGTGTAGAGAAGGAAAGAAAAAGCATTTGGAAGAAGTTAGAGACATGGCAAAGGAGAAAAAAAATACATTTCAGCCAAACTATACAACTAAGCTAATTGAATGATACTTGTTTTAGCTATTTGGCAACTTCATGTTTCTCTCAAACTAAACAAACAAATGACATTTTATTCAAACTACCTTTAATTACAAAAACACTTGACAAGCTGAAAATAATTACCCAAAGGAACATCTGTTTCCCAAGAACATTTTAGACAATAGTTTTCATTTAAATTATAAAGATGACAAGATGCGGTAGAGTCCAGAGTCTAATACTGATTGTCAGTGTAATCCTAATTTGCACCACTAAACAAGATCATGAAGATAATTTGTTTATATAGGAGGAGCTGCCATGCCTTCCTTTTTGAAACTAGACCTAACAGTATGTTTCATACTTTCATACTGACATAAGCAATTTCCATGGCTGCTTCAAAGGCCAACAATTGTGTTTCCACTTTTGTAATCTTGCTCGAGTTTACGGTAAATTGACTCCGCTGTGAATTGTGAGACAGCTTGCTGAAATGAGCTGGTCCAATCTGTGTGGTCATGTTGTTATTCCCAGGCAGTTCAGAAAGCCTAAGGTGCTAAAGCAGGTCAATGGGTGGGTGTGGAGGACAAAAAAGGGAGGACACACACACAAAATATTCAAAAACAAACACAAAATCACCAGGGATCAGTCAGGGGATCCTTTTGATGAAAAGCACAAACAGATTTAAGAAGATATACATGTCTCAATATAATAATAATAATAATAACAATAATAATATCCTATTCAGAGCCTGTATCTTTGGCTTTTAGCACCATAGAACAATGTAAATGTTCCATTTCTGATGACACTGTGTCATGCAAATGAGAGCTGACAAAACTTTGTGGAGCTGCAGATGTATCAAATAACTCACTTCCCCAAAATAATGGCAAATTGTTATAGACGTGTACTATCATTCACTAGTTAATTTTAGTAGAGCAGAATTCAGTTTTGCTAGTTTGATTTCAGATCAATTCAAGCATTGTTCTTGAACAGCTAATCTCTCAATGAGCCTCTGTCTATGCTCTTTCTGAATAAAAAAGTGTTTCCACATGGTGGGTGGCAGAAGAGATAAACCACTGCCAGTCTGATAATGACTAGAGGAGTGAGTGATGACTCCTCTGTCCTGTTTGTAACAGATCAGCAGCCCAGCTACTGATCACTTCCTTACTGACACACACACATACACGATGGAAAGTCTGTGAAGCCCTACGTATTCCATATGCAAAGTCACTTTGGCATGTAAGATCACACTATTAAAGACACATTGACCCTTCATGTGTCGTCTGTTTACCATGTAGTGTCCTTATGTTGATGTGACACAAGCTGCTTAAAAAAGAAAAAAAAAATGGATTACACTGGATTGCGACACTTTACAGCTGGAGCTCAGCTGCCACCACAACACACCAGGATCTCCTAAGCTTTATTATATTTTATCCTAAGCTTTATGTATTTATGCATCTAGAGAAAATCTGATGAGCACACACACAACCACTGCCTACTACTGTCATGTACCACATTAGCAGTTATACACACTCGCACTGCAAATTTAACTCTCTTTTAAATTGTTATTCTCAGTAATTAATAGCAGCTTCTGAGATCTTTGCATGCCTGCTGTTACTCTGCCTACTATCTAGGGAGAGCCATGACAACTTATCCTATTCAGTAGGCTAATGTGATCCCAGCACAAAGCGTGCACAAACATGCCCCTCAACAAAGCACTTTCATGAACTCAGGAGAAGTGTTAAAAGTGATTAGCTGCCTGTGCAGCCTCTGTGTTAAATGCAACAGGACAAAAATATTCAGCCTCCAAAGTTGCAGTCTTGTACATTTTACTTGTGTCTGTTTGCTTCGGGGAGCTTCCTGTCTAGCAATGCCATGGAAAGACAGCTGGGAAAGGACGAGGGTGAGGTAATGAGGAGTGTGAGTATATGTGCTTAGGGGGGACAACTTGGCACATCCCGTAAATTCACTCAACGGCAGTGAAATGTGATTCCTGTGGAGCATGCCCCCCTCACCCACCCCAAGCGTTCCCTCCTCACTCTGCATCCGCATGAATACAGCTCAGACCTAATGACACATCTGCTGCTATAATCACCTATTCACCCAAGGCAGACAGGAAGAAGAGAGAAGAGTCTGTCTTGTCATCCCACTCCCCCCCGCACTCCCTCCACACCCCGGAACCCCCACCACAAGACACCGCCGGCCCGCCTTCCTTTAGTCCTTCTTTGCTTAGATCATTGAAGCTCCAAGGCCCAGAAGAGATAGTCCACAGGGCTTGTAATTATGTTTGTGCAGGAAAACTTATTTGTGTATTAAAGCAAGTTCGTTATAGCCTGTTATCATTCTTATTAAACTGCCACTATGCCGTGTTGAATAAAAGAGTAACCAGAAAAATCAGTAGGCCACATTTACCAACATCTTTAAGTGTTTTCTTGAATTTCTTCATAGGTTCTAAGAAAAGTCTATGTCTGATTCATGAGCATATTCTTAAACAGTAGAATTGTTCATATCTGTGTTTTTATATTGATGAATCCCATGTGTTCATAAGCTGAAAGCACATGCCAGTCATTTCTAATTAGCATAGGTTAACACCCTGCCAATGCCCATAAAAGAGTTAGTGTGTATTCATTTTAAAAGACCATAATGCTTTGTAAAATAATGGGAAGAATATTAAAGAAATACTAATAATTACAATAATTTAAACCTTATTATATAACTGTAGAACTGAAGAAAACTACGTGATCATTTATTTCACACAAATGACAGCACCCAAATGTACTTAAGTGTGCTCCAGAATGTGCACAGATTCCGATCATACATAAGGACAAATCCCAGGTAAGAAAACATTGGTGAATGTCAGAATCTTCATGAAAACATCTTAAAAGCTGCAGATGAACTCCCACACCAAGCAGCATCTGCTGCCACCTTTTCAGTCTGTGTGTCCGTCTAAATCTGAATAATGCTCCTAAGCCATTTTTTCAGCAGCTATTCACAGACTGAGCACACAACAGGAACACAGCTGGTTGCAGTGCATGTCAGAAAAGGACTACAGAGAGGCTGAGGGAATTCAGGGAAAAGTTATTCTAACTCCAGTCCTGTTCCCTCACTTGGAGTGAACAGCATCATTTTACTAAATCTTAAATTTTGTGGTTGGGAGACATGTTTGGGACATGCACACACACACACGCACACACACACACACAAAACCAAATGATATGTCTATTTGTAGTGGCAGTACTCTATTTCCATTGGATTACATTAAATATAACAGATATCAGCTCTACAAATGTCTCTTTATTGTCAACTGCATTGTGTGTTTTTCCTGCTGGTATAAGCCATGTTGACTTTGACATATTTTGATATATATTCTTTTCATGTTATCACATTCATATAGAAATTCATGAATACTGATGTTTAGAGCTGAACAGAATGGCTGCATAAACAGAAAACAGTGTCTTGCAACTACAAAGCAGGTCACATGTATCTAATGTGGCCAAAGAGCCTGGCTTAATCTAAAGTCAGACAAAGTTTTTTGAATAGCTGAGAAGAGAACCGCCCTAGTAAATACGTGTCATATTCAAATATCAACCACACCACATCCACAGTGGACTGGGACAACACACTAGTGTACACTGTTATATGTAAAGTCAGAAAATTCAAATTAATGCCTCCTGTGAAATCCCGTTTAAACCAACAGGCTTTTAGTCGCAAACAGGGTAACGGAGATAGTTTACTGGTCATGTTACATGTATACTGTCATATTCACACTTTCTAAGCTTTTCAAAAACTAAATGTGACCCAACAAAGTCATTCCCAATCTAAGCCATCTCCTATGTTGACCCTATCAACTTTGACAGATTATATTCACATCTCTATGAAGCATCAACACCTCGCAAATCTGTTTGTCTACTACATAGCAGCTATCAAGAGTGCACAACTGCACTTGATTAAAACACCGAAACAGCACAGTGCAGTGAACAAATAACCTATTAAATGTCTATATCACCAAATACTTCACAGCTTAGAGAGGGGATAAAAAAATGTGATTGATACATTAACATCAGCAACAGAACTACATGCATGAATAAGCATAAATCTGGTTTGGAACTTGTTGCTGTGCTGCCACTGTATACAAGATGTAACAGAGTAAACAAAAACTTAAGAAGTTTTCTCAGTCCAATTCAACCTTAGGGCAGCGTGTGAGACAACTGCCTGATGCAAGTACACCAGTGTGTGTGTGTGTGTGTGTGTGTGTGTATCTTAACAAAAATTAGGTAAACCATTATTAGCAGTAAGGGTTGAGAAGCAGTGCACTGAGAACAGGTCTACCTTGCCAGGCCAAAACAGCAACAGTCAAACTGATCCGGAGATAGGTGACTTGCAAAACCAGGTGTGTGCAGAGTATTTTTTGTGTTGTGAGAGACAGAGAGGTGTGTGTTAACATTAAGTTATCCAGCCAGTTCCTTAACCCTCCACTTGCTTGTTTTAAGTTGCATTCAAGTGTAAGCGCAGACAACATATTCAAGTATTTAATCCCACTTGTCAACTCAAAGATTAGGTCCCTACAAGGCAAACTAACAATCATATCCACTCTTAACACAAAGATAATTAAATCACTAATGCAAGTTTCAAAAGCAGTAGATCGTCTGTCTATATAGGTGATATGATGACATGAGCATAAGTGTGAAGCAGCGGGAGAAAGACAGCGGGGAGTCCTCTTTCCGCTTTACATGTCACCCCACCTTTTGTCCTCCCTGGCCGAGAGAGACAAAGCCATGTCACGGCCGGAAGGAGGACGGTGATGATGCATCTGTCATCCACTGTTACAGACTTATACTGACAATAGAAAAAGCCCTGCCCCTCTATCAGACCACGTTTATGTGAGCTAACATTCAAACACCAGCATCTCCGACTATAAAGTTACCCCAGAAAACAAATAAACTAATAGTCGTGTATTAATCGTGTCATGCCTGGCTACCTAGCAGCAGGAGTTAGCCGACTGGAAACAGCGACTAACCAGACAGCGCCCACACCGTGAAGAATTTTCCTAGAAATCTCCAAGTATACAGACGTCAGGTTTTAATATAATGCCTCAAACAGTATGATCCAACTTAATAAAAATGTTACTCCCCATTAAAGCATGGGGCATATTAAAGAAGATAAAGAATCGGACCGTCTTTAAAAAACAAATCACGGCGTTTCGTTCAACCTTTCTGACTGAATAGCACATTAAGCTAAAGCAGCTTTAGCTAAGATTAGTTTATTTGCTATGTGAACTCCCTCACAATCATATTTCCAACTATATCAGTAAAGTGACCTGTTTGAATTGCGAAATGGGCGTAATGTTAGCAGAGATTGTGCAAGGTCACTTTAATATATCGGGTGGAACAACAAGCTCACTGGATACTTACGGTTACCGCTAACGTTAGCAAGTTAAATGTAAACTTGGTACAGGTATTTGCCGTTAGTTAGCGATGTTAACTTGTCTACGTTGATTTTGTTAGTTAACTCAGTATGAAACGTTTATAACCAGACAAAAGTTTGTTTTCTTACATATTCAGGGCCACCCGGTTTGCCACTGTCTTCGATAACAGCACTCGGAGACCCAACCACTGACTAACGTTATTATCTAACTAATACGTTCTCCAAACTTGGCTTTTAAAAAAGTTGGATCAAAGCTAGCAAAGATTGTGATAGATTAGCCAGATGCAGATATCCCCTATCTTAAAGTTAGGCTAAAACTCATCTGTTGCTCACTTGGCATCTAAATGAAATACGAAGCTTACCATTTATTGATTTAAAGCCAAACCTACAACGTCGATACACAACCGTTCCAGTCAGCCCCCAAACGTATTTTCTGTACTAGGATAGCCAACAAGCATGCTAAGCTAGTTAGCAATCCTCCAAGCTAGCAGCCAAGACGGGTGCTCGGTGGAGACATCACCAGAGCAAACTGGATTAACCTTACAGGACACTCTGGAAAAACATAACAACTCGTTTGTCTTGGAAATTGATGGTGACTTACTATATCTTTGTACTGCCTCTGGTTCTGCTTTTAGTCCAGGGATATAAACCCATAAACGAGTTTAGCCAAACCGAAGAAAAAAAAAAATCAAGATACTTATTTTGGCGTTCAAGGAGCTTATTGCACCTCCGCCTAGCTATACCTTGCTAAAGCTAAGCCAACCAGGCTGCACGTATCTCCTCCTCCAGAACATGGCGGACAGAGTGGAAGTGGGGGAGCTAGGAAGGGTGTGACCAAGGCAGCTTGACTTGACCAAAGACACAGAATGACCCTTCCCTCCCAGCTGGAAACTACCTTCATATCATCCAGCAAGTGCTAAAAGTAACGTCACATTAACAGGACAGCTCTGTTTCAGTGTCATTAGAGTGTTGCTACTCACCATAATGATAATGCATATAATTCAGGTTTTCATGGGAATGCCATGCAAAAGGCTGGGTTTTATTCCTGGGAGAATATGAGTACAAAATTTATAGCAGCACCAATTTCAGATTTGCAAAAATATCCCTGTTAGTTCCCGTTTCTTTAACTTCGGCTGTTTACTGAACAGACCTCTCAGGTAAAACAGGTTCTTTCCAGGAAAGTTCTGGTAAATTTCTTCCTTTTTACAGAAAGCTGTATCAGCCACAGAGATTAGAATACTTAGGTTTAGTACACAAGCAAGTGCATGTCATGATTTGTCATTGCCAGGGTTAGACTGGTGTGTGTTACAGGTGTGTCCCTACAAGCTACAAACATTGCATGACAGCATTCCATCACCTCAGATTCTTCCAATGTCTCTGTGTAATCTTCTCATCAGCAGAGTTCTAAAAAGGGAGGGACACAGTTGTTACATATATAGAGACATGCATAGCATGCTGTTGCTTATTCAAATCAGGTGAGATATGAATAGACGTCTAAGAAGTTAGATGGATAATGCTGTGCTTTAAAAATATATAGAAGTCAAAACATCACAGTTTTACATCTCTGCCAGCACAGAAAAGTTTCCAGCACACGAACTAGAATATGTAGATGACTAATGTGGTATCTGCAAGATGATATTGGGCTTTCTAATAAAATGCTGTACCTCCTGACCAGTATTTGGTATTATGGGACATGATATGAGAACATTCTGATTGATCAAAAAATACAGAAAATGAGCAAAAATAAACTGAAAATCAATAAAAAATAATTTTTGTTCAGTGATAACTGGTGCAAATGCTATTTCATATTGGATAAGCTACCAGGTGCGTATGTGAGAAAGAGAAAGATAGTCTTGAAGAATACCTTTCTGGTGACATAGTTTTAGAGTTTGAGGATAGAAATGACATCAGCAAATTAAGATGAAAACCTTATACACTTATATTATACACTGTCTGTGAAGTACAAAGTTGATGAGATTTTGGCAAAATGTCACCTACTTCCAGGGAAGAGATGAACCTTTACTTCTCTGTTACTAAGACAAGACAGTCAGTATTTAGAACAGTCAATATTTAGCTCAGATATGATCCTATTCAAAAGAGGATTATTTACCAAATTTTGTGCAAATTACTAGAGGTGACAGGAGGTATGAAGTCTTTGTGCTGTTAAATATATAAATATGTATCTAAAATATATTAGAATATATCAAAACAAAAACAACTTGAATTCCTCAGACAAATATTGTAATTTACTTTCCTCCTTCATAGCATGTGAGCAAAGTTCATGTGAATTTCAAGGGTGGCTCAGATTTTTCAATAAAGAAAAATTTTCCATACATCATGCAAAACAAAGCAAACCTACATTACCATTCAAACAGGAGACCATTTATTAACTCTGCTTATCACCATGTTAAATAGTTAGGCCGTGCTTTCTTATCATATCTGCCTGAGAGTTATCGCATTTGCTTCAATGTATTATGCCCATGCAAGCTTGTGCAAACATAGACTGAACTGTTCTACTTAATGTAAAATAGCTAAATGCTCAATGAGGCACGTCACACAATGTGCCTTCTGCCAACAGATCGTCCCCCTGCAAATCCAGTTTCAACCATCAGATGTCAGAAGTGATTTACTTTTCAGAAGGGCTGGTTGCAATCTGAATGTAACATGGAAGGTGTTTATAACAGACCCCCCTGCAGTGTACATATTTAGTACACTAACATTAACAAGGGCCTAATGCACTCACCAACATGATCACACAAATAATCTTTGAGTAACAACAACACACAGAATTGGCTGAGCAACAAACCACAAAAAAAATCTCATTTGCATTGGGCTCCTATAGCGCACACACTGCTGCTTTACATTTTCATTTAGCCTATTTAGATATTCTTATGACTGATTGTATCACATATGCTTCCCTACCTATAAATAACCTACAGTTTATATTCCCCATCCTCATCGCCATTATGTAACTGAACAGCGTTTGTCACACACCAGTAATTCAGGCACTGAATACAGTTACAAAAGTAGCATCACATGAGGTATAATCATTTTAATATCATTCAGCAGCATGTGTGAACATAGGCGTTTAACATAATGAAGCTTATAGACGTACAAAGAAGCACGATTGCTGCACAAGTAACTGGTGCATCAGTTTCAAAACCTTCAAAGTTACGTAAAGTGGAAATGTCTGGCAGGTTTTGGTCTTTGAGCTGCAGTGACACACTTGGTTCCAGAAGGAGCCGATAAGCTGCAAAACAAAAGAAGAGAAAGCATGAAACAGGATCATGTATAATGCCTGCCACTGCCACCAGCTTATTAGCTAAATCTTTTCATACATGCAAATAGTATTACTCTTGCTAGATTATACCTGGAGAAAGTGAGCAAGAAAAGAAGTTGACATTTACACATATTTAGTACACGTACAGTTGGGTGCAAAGGTCTGCATCCCCTTACTCTGAAATGACAAAAAGAGTAAAACAAAGAACAACATAATATTAATGGGATGATATTTAAGTCTGGAGACTGGGAAGGCCATGGTAAAACATTAATCTTATTCTTTTTAAACCATTCCTGACTCCTTTGTATCATTGTCTTGTTGAAGGATCCACTGCCTCTTCAGTTTTAGCTTTTTGACTGATGGTAGGAGGCTTTGCTTGAAAATCTTCTGATACTGGGCTGCATGCATTCTTCTTTCCACTTTATACAGAGCTCCGGTGCCTGAGCTTCACCGAGCTTCCACCATGTTTGACTATGGGAATGGTGTTCCTCCCCTCATAGGCAGAGTGTTTTTACATACCTGTGCGAGTTATGTCCTGTGTTTTGTCTCCCAAACAATCCAGACTTGTGCAGACTGCGCTTGACTGTGGAGATGTGGGCATGTATATCAGTTGCCTATAAGGACTTTGTCACATCCCCTGCTGTACGTCTAGAATTTTTACGTAGCTCTCAAGCAAGAGTCCAAGCACCTCTTTCAGTTACAGTATCATTCACATCCTGGGTTTGAGGGCTGTACATAGCAGACAGCCAAGCAATCTGGCTGACTTGGAGCAAGTAGGCCATGAAGAATGGGCTAAACTTACACCTGAAAGGATCCAGATGCTGCTCAGAAGGTACCCAAAGAGGTTGGAGATGGTTAGGGAGGGCATACGAAGTATTAGAGAACATTTCATAAAGGGAGATGAAAATTTTTGTACTGATATGATTTTCATTATTATACTATAACTTTCTTTTTATCCACTTCAAGCACCAGCCCTTCTCATACACAGGACAGATTTTTAGCAATCCTTAATTTGTTTAAATTGTAAACTAAATTTGAGTGTTTGTCCCCTACGTGGAGCTTGGTGGCTAAAAGAGGGCAACGTCAACTAAAGAACTCTGCTCCTCACGTAGGCATTACCCTAGCAGGTCAGAGGAAAGCTGGTAAATCTGTTGTGGGTACCGGAGCAGCTGGAACTATCAAAACAATTAAGACCAAGATGGTCAGTGTCTTTGCTACAAAATTCTCACCAGACTTAGAAGCCGAAGTTTTACGTACTTATTTGAAAGAAAAACTTGGGCATGACGTCATGTGTCACAAAATTGTTTCAGGAAACACTAGGTTTGCTTCTTTTAAAGTGTCTGCTGAATGCAATGAAGTGGATGACATGTATAATCCAGAGCTATGGCCCGAGGGTACATTTGTGAGGCGATATTTTGAACCACGTAAATTTGTTGGTGGTGCTCATGCTGCTCACTCTACCCGAGCAAGGCCCTCTCCTGGAAGCAGATGCTAGCTCTAACTAATTTTTAGGGATCTTAAAGTAATCTCATATAACTGTCGTGGCCTTCGCTTAGGTCATAATGTGGAGGATAAAGTTCGCTGCACTGTGGTTAAAGAGCTGCTGGAACAATGCGACATTCTATGCTTACAAGAGACTTTTCTTGCCAAGCAGGACTTATGTGGTCTTAACTCCTTGGACGATAATTTCCTCGGCGCTGGAGAGTCTACTACTGACTTTGGGCTCGGTTTCAAGCGTGGACGGATTCCTGGTGGTGTGGCTATCTTGTGGTCTAAGAGGTTGGACCCAGTGGTTAGTGTGGTTAGGACTACTTGAACAAGCTTCTTTTATACATGGCGACGGGTATACCAGCGTATATATTGTGGGTGATATGAACGCAAATATATCAGATAAGGATTCTGTTTTTGCAAAGCATACAGTGGGTACGGAAAGTATTCAGACCCCCTTAAATTTTTCACTCTTTGTTATATTGCACTGCGATGGATTGGCGACCTGTCCAGGGTGTACCC